CAGATCCCGGAGTCTGGGGGCTATTTCGGGGGTGTGTGTGTCCCTCCCCGCGCCGACCTTTCGGTTTTGGGGAAAAACGCGTCCCTTTTCCCTCAAAATCCTCTTCTTCCCCTCGGGAGAGGGCTCCGGGTCCCCCGATGACTCGATGTCTTACCGGAGTCCCTCCGGCAAAGGCTGGGTCTCCTCCCGTGGTAGAGCTGAAAAGGAAAAGAAAATTGATTGTGGGTTTTGGGTTTTTTTTTTATATATTGACTTTTCAGAGCAATTTGGTGTTTTAACGAGGAAGGATTTGGAGCCAGAGGAACGGGGAGTTGGAGAGCAGGGAAGGTGGTGGCCCGGGTTCTCCTCAAACCCTGGGGAACAAGGCTGAAATGGTTGGGAAAGGGTTTATTTATTTGTGCTAAATCTCTGCTCGCCCCTGGGGTGGAAAGGGCAAATTGAGGCTTTATCCCCCCCTTTTTTTTCCTCACAGGTGCGGGGACCGAGCGACTTGTCCCCCCGGTTTTCCCCAGCACAGATCCCTCTCCGTCCCAAATTGAGGGCTGGCTCATCACAAGCCTGCCAAAACACACGGCAGGCTGCGGCGTGGGGGTGGCTCTTGTCCGTCCGTCTGGGGTTTACTCGCTGTTTTGGGTTTAGTCCTGCTTTTTTTCTTTGGTGATTTCTTACCCATTTACCAGTGGGGCGACGCGTTGCTGGACAGGGCAATGTCAGCTCCTTTTCTCGGGGCACTGGCCACCCCTGACAGAGTTTGTGGAGTTTTGTGGCGACGGCTTTTGCTTCCCGAGCCCTTTCCTAGTCTAAATTAATAAAGTATTTTTCCTGTCAAGCCAGTATTAGCCAGTGACAGAAAAATGGCTGAACCAGCAGCCGTGAGGCTGGCGCGTTCCCTCGCCCAGCAGGTTCCCCGTGCTTTACCTGTGGCGTTTGGCTTTACCTCTGTTCTTGGTGAGCCTTTTATTTTGGGATGAGAGGTTGGTTTTGAGAGGGAAGCGCTTGACAAAGCAGGGGTAGAAAATCAAGCTGAGGTGGATTTTCCTTTAGGGGAAAAACTCCTGATTTTTGGTAGAAAGCAAAAAACCACCTCCTGTAAAGGTTCCCATCTCCTGCACACTGTCTGTCACAGCCACCAGTGAGGCACCCGAATTCACGGCCTGTGATGGGAACAACCTCTACTCATGGGACTCTGTGAGCACTCAGTGGCTTTGATATCTCCGGGTGCATGAAGCGTAAACTCCTCATCATCAGCTTCATCACCCTTACACTTGGGTAACCCCCCCAGCTCTGGGTTTGTTTTAGGATAATGAGTGGTCATGGATTTCACTGCTTTTATATTTTGCTGAAGTTCCCTTGCTGTGAGTTTTTGCTCCACCACAATTAAACCGCTGCGGAGTTTTGCGATTATATCGGCCGCAGGTAACAGGGATCGGCGCTGTGCTTTCCGTAACCACCTCTGCTCGCCTGTCTGCCATTTATGCATCATCCTGCTTCCTTTTTTTGATGTTTTCTAGCCACATATTTATTGTTCCTTTCTCTCCTGTTTCTGCCCGGTGTTTGTGAAGTGTTTTGAGGACCTGCAGTGGGGAGAAACCTTTAAAAATACAACTTATCGATGAAGCAGCTTGTTGTGGAGAAGGATTTTGCGTGCTCAAACCATCCTCTGCAAATAGGTGGTGTTACATTTGCCAAACTTGGTGGGTTTACTGCCATTTTTTCCATAACCAAGGTGCACGTTGCATTAAAGGTGACACGTTGGCAGGAGGAGAGTATGAATTTAATAGTAAGGGTTGCGCAGGGTGGGGTAAACCACAGCTGTGTGTGGAGGAGGGTTAATCCCAGTCTTAATAATCTGCTGTTTTGTGAAATTAATTCTGGCTGCTGCAGTTTGGGGTGGAGGCGAGCAGGGGGCTGCAGCGGTTCCGAGGGGTGGCTGCGGTTGCAGGGCGCGGAGGGCAGCGTGAGATAATGGGGATGGCTGCCGGCGTGCTGCGGTGATAAGAGGAGCTGGGCGAGCAAAGGGGAAATAATTTGGCTCGCTGTGGTTTCCTCCACACGCTGAGGTGGTGGCTTTTCTGGAGAGGGGATGAGGAGGCTCTCGGCAGAACCACATTCTTCTGGCAGCGCCGTTACTTCTTTCTCTTTCTCTATGTGCCCTGCGTCTCCCATCCTTGGCTGCGCACAGGAAGATTTAACGGCTTCTGAGTTTGGATTGATTTCAGGTTGCTGGTGGTATCTAGCACTCTTGATTTGGGTTCCTTGCTCCATAAGGAGGTTCTACTCTATGGCATCAGGCAAAATCCAACTGTCGTGCGGTTTCGGTGCCTGCATCCCTGCCCGGCTCACCTCCAGAAGAGCCCGTGGCCAGCAGCCAGCCTACAAGCTCACCTTCTAAAATATGCTACAAACCAGATAATCAAAAGGCAGCAAAATTAAATCAGTTTGTTACAGCAGAGCGGAATGGGCCAAAAGCCTGTTAAGCCGTGCTGCTAATAGATGTAGAGTGAGTGCTGGGCGCTTAATTCATTGTCTGAGGTGTTAAGGCCGAACGCTCATAAATCCAATCCCAGCAAGATGGCAGAGGTAAAACCTCACTTAAGCTGATTAACTTCTCTCTTCCAGAGTGTCTGCGCAGGGAAGCTGCCATTTAAGATTTGCGCGTGCAGCTCAGATTTATTACAAGCTTGCTTTCTCTGCGGGCAGCGGCGTTACTGCATCAGGCTGGGCGGGAGGCGTCCGGTAACGTGAGAGGATGTGCTGGGAACTCTTCCCATGCCAAGCTGACCTTAATTATGCCGGTAATGTCTTGCAAAGCATCAGAGCAGAGTCTGCGCACCTTAATATAGCTTGCTAAGGGCCCTGTGTTTGCTTTGGAAGGGACCCAGTCTGGTGCAATACCGCTGAGGTTGTTAAGCGTGTTGTTAATGAGAAGGTAGGAAGCTCATGCTTGTTTCTATTGCGCGTGTTTCTCTAATTCTGATGGCCGTCCTACAGGGTTCTTATTTTTGCTTTTTCTGTCCTGTCTTTGGCACCACCACTGACGATGGATCTCCGCTGTTAGAGTGCATTAGTGTAATATTTCTGGGTAATATTTCAGAGTTGCCGCAGTAAAGTGAAGTTTGTAGTGTCTTCCAGGCCTTAAGATGTAGAGTAATTGGGTTTTGGGGGGTGGTTTTTTTTGGATCTGCTACTTGCAATAGCATCAGGTAGAGCTGTAGCCCATCCACACAAGGGCTGCAAAAGCTTCTCCCACGTGGCTCTGCCAGCCCTGACCTGTACCAAACCTGTTGTTGCTGAAC